GGAAATGCACTTAATGTTCTTTTTTTTTCAACTTCACCGAATATTATCTTGTTAATATTAACGTGTATTATTGCTGTTTTATTAGTTTACGTTTGAATTCGTTCTCAGATTTGCTGATATGTGTGTAATTTTGCAGAAGTCTGTATATATGAATTAAGAGGAAGTGTGATACAAATTAACATCATTGCAATGTTTCTTGGCAGATGCGTTAATATTTGCAGGATAGTTGAATTAACAGGCGATCATACGCCAGATATAAGGAGTTTACGTCAAGCACAGCTGGTAATAACAACACCTGAGAAGTGGGATGGTATAACACGAAGTTGGGAGGTTCGAGAATATGTTAGAGATGTTGTTTTGGTGGTGATCGATGAGATACATTTACTGGGTGTTGAACGAGGTGCTGTACTAGAGGCTATCATTACGAGGTGGTTTATTTATCTCACACGTTTTTATTACTTACAAATTTTGATGGGCATTCTGTTTTCATATCAAAAAATGAATTTTCGAAATGAGAGAATATGGGAACAATGTATGAATTTCATTTGATGTGAGTGATCATTTTTCTTGTTCAAGTTTTCAATTACTATTCATAATGTTGTTGTTGATTCAGATTGAAATTGATGGCAATGAAACGACGTTCGGACGGTAGCAATACCGTTCGTGTTGTTGGTTTATCGACAGCACTTGCAAATGCAGGTGACATTGCCGAATGGCTGAATATTAAAGAGGTGCGCTCACACTTTTCACATATCATCCATTTTGTAATCAGCATCTCATTTCTAGTGTTTTTGTTAATAAATTTTAGATCGTGTTAATTTGGAGAGCTGAAAAAAANAAAAAAAGTTATTGCGATATAATCGTGCAATGTTAACATAAATCAGTGTACCAAGATTCAAGATTCTATTCGTTCTGCGGCAAAGCGAGTAACATCCTACGAAAACGCAAATATGCATTCTTTATTTTTTCTTATTAAAAATATGCAAAGCTTTCAGTCAGGTCTATTCAATTTCCGACCAAACGTGCGTCCCGTTCCAATTGAAGTGCACATCGCTGGATTTCCGGGGCAACAGTACTGCCCCAGAATGGCACTCATGAACAGACCGGCATTCAAAGGTATCGCTTTAGTTTCTGTTCGTCTCTATTTTGATTAAAATAAGTAATATCAGTGTTGTTAATCTTATCGTTTTTTTTTTTGATAACTGAATTCGAATTCAGCCATCCAGAGTTATTCACCAAGCAAACCAGTGCTTGTATTCGTTGCATCACGTCGTCAAACTCGTTTAACCGCAATGGCATTTGTATCGCAGTTGGTAAGTGGAGACGATCCAAAACAATGGCTCAATATGGACATTCAAGAGGTTATTCGTATGTTTTCATTCTTACGAACATAGTTTTTTGGCATAATTTCGGAATATACATCTCGTATGTTTGATTTTGCCTATTAGAATTGCAATGCGCTGTGAACAAAACAGTTGCATCGACGAATGAGTTGAGTGTTTGAATTATTACGCAAGAACAAAGCATTGTTCACGAGCATGGCATCGTTTTGACGACTGATCACTAGATGTGGAATAAAAGAATTGTTGTTACAGTTGGAATGTTTAACGCAAACAATCAAGGACGAAAGCTTGAAGTTAACGTTGCCATTCGGTATCGGTATGCATCACGCTGGTCTTCAGCAACATGAACGCAGCTTAGTCGAAGAGGTATTCATTATTAGTGGGATCATTTTAAGTCAGTTAAATGCATCATGAAATGTGCAGTAACTGATGCAAATTTCATGAGATTTGAATCGTCTTCCGGAAAAATTAAATTGAACATCAATAAAGAATTGAAATTATAGTTGTTCGTTGAGCGTAAAATACAAGTATTGATTGCGACAGCAACCCTCGCTTGGGGTATCAATATGCCAGCACATTTGGTTATCATCAAAGGAACTGAATACTATGATGGCAAAACACATAAATACGTCAATTTCCCTGTTACAGGTTCGTTCCTTTTTGAATATAACACTTTCAAGAACGATACCGAAAAAAACTCGNTTATGCTCATCATCGATGTGTTCTCTTTCTTTTCATCACTTGTTTAAGACGTCTCTCATAACAACTGATATATCTGTGGATGTATATTTTTGTTTGGAACTTTTGCGGGATTAAACTCGCTGAAATTTGAAATTTTATTGCTTCTTCCAATAAATCGCATTGCAAACAATATCGAGCGGGCATTGTTGATCGTAAAGATGTTAAAAAATGAATGATAAAAGAACCAAGAGGAAATTCATCTATCAGATGTGTTGCAAATGATGGGCAGAGCTGGGCGACCGCAGTACGACACCTCAGCAATTGCCGTGATTTATGTGCAGGATGTGAAGAAGAACTTCTATAAACGCTTTCTCTACGAACCGTTCCCTGTTGAGTCAAGGTTTGTTCTGTTTTATTCAATCTCTTCTCTCTTAACTTACCATTATGAATTACAATGCAGAAGATTTGAACTTGGAAGTTTCAATTAATTTTTCGAATAATTGAATTTTGACTCGAATGAGGCAAAGT